AAATGTTTCCGGGCATGTTTATGCGGAAGCCAGACAAAGCGGAGGCGCTGAAGCAGCTCAAGAGCCACGCGGCCATGTTCGGAGCTTGGGTGGCCGTCGTCCGGGTCGCCCCGTACGTCCTCAACTACTTTTTCGAGCCAAACGAACAACTCAAGCTCGAAATCTGATTTTTTATACGCTGCAATTTCTTAATCCGGTAATTGATATATGAACTGATCTATTCGTTACGATGCTTTGATGTGCCCCTTTTACCTGCTTGCAGTTTCATCTGATTTATCCGATGCGTGAGATTACTGGTGATTTGATTTTGTTAAAAAAATTGGGGTTTTGAATATCATTAGGTGGTGTTTTGTTGTTCTATCAAGCTGTTGCAGTTCTGTTTGAAATTCTCGATGAGTTTTTTTACTAGCTCATACATTATGAATGAAATTTGCAAGCTTTATGAAGTTCAGTAACTGATTAACATTAGTGGGAGTGGAGCATTTTCGATGTTATATTTAACATAGGTTAGTAAGAACTTGGTGATTGTGATGAGTGGAATTTAAAGGATTTGGTGTGGGGAATTGTAATATGGTAAGAAGATTTGCACTAACTAAAACCGTTCACTCCGATCACCTGTGTACTCACAAATGCACTTTGAACCGAGAAAAATAGGAATCGGGTTTAGGTAAATTTTTGTGGGCATAGATTGGCTTCAAATTTTCTTCCAATAGAATCGGGTTTTGGTAAATTTTTGTGGGCGTAGATTGGCTTCAAATTTTCTTCCAATAGAATCGGGTTTGCAGGTTACCATCAATTCTTGAATTGACAAACTTTTTCCCTTCAATTTATGCTCTCTTGTTGTGTTTTTTGTGTTTCAGCTTTTATTCGAATTTGGAAGGAGGAGCAGTTGAGTCCTAAGCTGCCTTAGTCTTGAATTTTATTTCTGATTTTCTTCCAATATATGCCGTAACTTCCAAATTGGATAATCCATGAAGTTTCTTTTAATTTTTGAGATCACATGACTTTTAATTTGTGAGATGCCATAGCAAATTCTAGTGGAACGTGTTAATTCGCTTTTGCTTAAACCTTATTGATAAGGTAAAAAATTACTCAATTTGGGTTATATATAGGGCTGCAAACGAGCCTAGCCGAGTCAAACAATGGCCTTTTCGAGCACGTTTGAATTTTCTTTTGTTTTAGCTGCTCGAGCTGGAGCTCGATTCATGAGGCTCGAGCTCGGCTCGTACTTTTTTAAGTGAAATTACCATTAAGCACTTGTGTTATACTATCTAAATATATATAAGGGGTATTTTAGTAATTTAATATATATCGACGTTTGACAACTTCCAGAGAAGTGAGTGCTGAGTTTGAGTTCAGAGTTGAGGTATTCGATCAAACTTGAACTCGAGTCGAGCTTTGACTCGAGCGCTCGTGAGCGGTTTGTGAGCCACTCGACTCGTTTGTAGCCCTAGTTATATATCTGTTGAAAATTGAAATAGAAGTAATTGATGCCATTATATGTTTGTATTGGGCTAGACATGATGTTATTAGTATGACATTACATTCAAATTCAGATGTATGGCGTAAGTTTTGGATAATGCAATAATGCTTGAGAATCAAAAGCTAGGGAATAATTGCATTTTATCTTTTAACATTGTGATTTGTGGCAAGTGATTTTCCAAAATCCGACCACAGTATCGGATCCTCGTTTGCCCTATTCAGTATCCTTTTCAAAGTACAAAATGCTTCAAATCAGTGAATGCAAATTACCAACATTACAACTTGAAGTTCACTTGAGTTGAGTGTCTTCATTTATGCCAAATGTTCTCTAATTTCTTTGTTCTCCCAAAAGTAGAGGAAAAGGGAAAAGAGAATACTTGTCGTGCAATATTATTGGTAAGCAAAAGCTTCATTATATTTTATATGGGTCCATTTTATCCAACATTTAGCATATTTTAACCTCTGAGTAGTAATTTTTTCTGTTTTTTTTTTTTTTTTTTTTTTTTTTTTTTTTTTTTTTTTTTTTTTTTTTTTTTTTTTTTTTTTTTTTTTTTTTTTGGTTCTTTTGTTACTTTTGGATATTGGTTATGCCTTTTGCTATGTTTAAGCATGTTGATGAGTAAGCACTTTGTTTAAAAAGCTTCATTTTCTTACAAGCTTGCTTCCTTAGCCCTACTTTTCAAGCTAAGTAAACATATATTGTGTGTCGTAATCAAGAATCAGTTATTTCATCTTGTTTTGTACTCAATTTCCACAATTTACTATTCTTGAATATTCCTATATTTATGTCTTTCATCTTGTTATGGGGAAATGTTACTGTCCTGTTACGGTAGCATCTCGTCGGGTGTTTTAACCGTTGGATCATCTATCTTATACTAATTACATGTGTATCCAATGGTTAAAACACCCGACGGGATGGTACCGTAACAGGACCATAGCATTTCCCTTTGTTATGTGTGTGAGTGTTAATTACGTTTATACATTGAACAAGTTGAATATGAGTGAAATACAAAACTAGTGTAACAACTATAACCTCTTATATGGTAAACATAAGCCAAGATTTGAATTTTTTATTAAAATTCTCCATTAATTATAAGGTTACACAAAGTTCATTCCATCCAATTAATTCAGACGATAATATATGTAATTTTTTCAATTCCTAATCAAAGCCAATCTATATCTATACAACGACATATCAAGAAGAAAAAAAA